AATCAACAAAAAAAAAATTTCAATTAAACTTAATCTCTTTCTAAAATATAATAAAAATATTTAAATAATAACACATAAAAAATTTCTAAGTTAATTCTAAAATTAAATTTATAATGATTGAAATGATAATAAATGGAAAATTAGATATTTAAGAATTATTTTCAAAGAAAATAAATCAATTTATTAAAAAGACAAAAATGTGATTTTCTCAATTAGTTAAAGGGAGAAATAAAATCAACTTTAATAGAGTCTAAGTGAGAAATCACAAAAAACTAGTTTGAATAAGTATATTAAATCAATAAATTAATAAGATATGACTATTGAAAGAATACGAAATAGAATTAAATAAAAAATTAGGATATTGAATCTTTGAATCAATACTAAAAATAATGATGAATGAAAAATCAAATAGGGTTTAGTGTTTACTATAAATTAGATTTCATCTAGTTGCTTTGCAGGTAAATTTATTTTTTTTTTAAAAAGCTCTAGTTTTATTATTTTAATTTGAAGAAGTTAAAAGAAATTAATTGAGTTTTGAGTATAATAATGGGGAAGAGTGATTAAGTGTTAAGACCACTAATTAATGTGAAACCTTAGATAGTAGAGAAAATAAAGCTATTGTCGCATCAAACACAGTAGAAGATTATTTAATAAAAAACAAAAGGGAAATATTTAGGATGTAAATTCGAAATGAATTAAAAATGAAATTATTTTCCTAAAATTGATCTAAATAAGGAATCGGTGCTCTATTCATTAAAAAAGTCCAAACTATTAAGAATTATTAAATGAGCATTTATATATAAACGAAGATTTATTGTTTGACTGTTTAAGTGAGAAAATCAGAAGTAAAAAGAAATGTTGGGAAAAGTAGGTTAATCTTTTAGAACTAACCAATAAGGATGTAGAAAAATTATATGTGAACAAGTGATTTTGATTATAATTTTTATGTCTAGATCCGTAATAGGAATAATAATAATAATACTAATGGATTTCAGAAAAAGCTGATGTAGAAATTTATTATAAAATTAAACCTTAATAAAACGGTAGATGTAAATTATGTTAAAAGATTGGTAAACTCAACTTGATAGTATTGCTGGAGAAATGTTATCAAAGTTGAGTTGAATGGATTTTTTGATAGAATAAATCACTCTGGAGGCAAATCTGATAAAAGAGAACAATAATTAGAAGAAATGGTTGAAAAGGCTGAGCAATTATCTATATATTCAGGAAAGTGGGATAATAACTTAATCAATAATTTAATTTGTTTATCATATCAGAAACAGTTTGATAAGAGTTGAAGGAAAATTAATCAAATGAAGGTGTAACTTAGCAGTGTGGAAAATGATATTAAATTTTTGAGAGGAAAATCTCTTATAATTATATATATTATATTTTTAATTAATTTAATGTGTCAACAAAATTCATACAAGTTGTCTTAAATATAAATCAAATACTCGATGTAGAATAATCTATTTAAAATTAAATGCCAGATAGAATAATACAATTCGCACAAGAATTAATAATTTAGTAGCTATAATCATTCAATTTAAGATTCATTTTACATAAGGTAAAATGTACTTAAATTAATAAATAATTTCATATAATAATGGAGAGAATCTTAATCCTGATATTGAATGGCATTAACAAAAATGAATAGTTGTGTGAATTCTATTCAGATCTTATAATAAAAGTGTCCCAATTCCAATGAAATGTATTAACCTTTAAATAAAAACTAATATTTTAATGGTTTTAAAATTATTTTTCGAATTACAGGATTGTGATAGAATTATTAAGTAAGCTGCAATTAATAATAATGATGATAAATCCATTCTATAGATGGATCAAGGCTTTTTCTATCCAAAAATGTTTATATATTTGGCAGGAAAACTTTTAGTTTAATTTATTATATTCAATCGTTGGAAGAAGAAATACTTTAGATATAGACTCAATACCTAACCAAAAACTATTTTTGTTCAAAAAAATCATCAATATTCAATGTTATGCATTCATCAAAATAAGAAATTCAATTCTCAAAAGTTATTTCACAAAGTTTTCGGAGCTTCAGTATTGAAATCAATACATAAAGGTATAGCAATATAGCAAATCAAATGCATAAAATTTAAGACAAATTAATAGAAGAGATACATAATTCTTTAGAGAAAGTATCCTTTTCTACACCTAAAAGAAAAAATAAATTTAATTGAATAATAATATCCAATTAAAAATAGAAAATACTAATAGAGATGAAGAGATTGTTTATTAATGCAGTGGAAAGTTCACATGCAGAATTATAAACTACATATGAAACAATAAAATAAAAATCCCATAAAATAGTTCACATAAAATTATAAGGTTAAATTCTTTAAAGACTGAAATAATGAGGTTTCAAATAAAACCCCACCAGATATAAGAGCAAGAAACTCTCTTTTTGACCTGCCAATATGAACCAATAGTTTCTCAAGTTTAACACAGAGGATTAAATCAAGTTGGTTTCATGGAATGTATCGTCAATTAAATCATAAACACTAAATTAGTTAATTAATATCCTCATATATTTTGTTTATTAGAATGTAGAATCAAAATTAAAGTCCTCCCCTCGCTATTATTTATTTCACTGTCCTAATTAAAGAATTCAGACTAAACTATTACTGTGGTCAGAATGCATTTTTCGAATGAAGCCTAACTAAAAATTTGTATGTTAAGAGACTTTTGATGAAAAAAATAATCCTTTTAATAGTTTTTATGAAGTTATACCTTGTTCAAAATATATTATTCAATGATCCATCAAATCATCCACAACATGTAAAGTTCAATTTCTTTAAAAAATTACTCAGTAGTTCTATTTTCAAAACTTAATAAATTATGTGCATACTAATTAAATAATTGGCCATGTTCCAAATTTTCAAATATCACTTGTTTTTATAATTTTAATCCTTGTAAATTTGAGATTGCAAAAGGCTATTCAAAAAATAAAAAGATAAATGATTCCTAAACTTGAAAGAAGTGATAAAAATTCTTATTATAATTGATGAGATTAATTATCTGATTTATTGAAGAAAAATTTTATCAAAATCAAAAAAAATTGTCATAATGAATCCAAATAAAAAAGAAGGAGGCATAATTTCTTTTTATTTTAGATGAATAAGATAATCTATAATTTGGATATGCTGCATATGAGAATCGCCTTTCATAATTGAGATAGATTTCAAATAGATAAGAATTCAGTCCACAAGATTTGCCTACTTTCCCCAATCGATATTAAAGAAATTTTAAAATTAATCTAAACTGATAAGGCCATGGTATTTCAGATTCCTTCATTAAAAAAACCAAGAATATCTTATTATTTCTGGATATTTGATCTAATACCACTCTTGAAAAAATTTAGTTATTTTGCAGATCAAGATTAATTCCTCTAAATAAAGTGTTTCCTTCTATTACTAGACAAAATAAATTTTGCCCAAACAATATTCTAAGCAC